CGCGGAGAGGGGAAGCCGGGAGACTGTAGCCCCGAGCCGCACAGCCATTAACTGGCGCGCTCTGGGCTGGTGAATGATTAATAAGCACCACCAGCGCGTCAGCAGCTACGAAAGGGAAGGGGAGGGGGAGAGAAAGAGAAAGGACGGCTATATAGGAGGCTTATCACCTCTCCCCATTTTGTGTTTTTCCCAGTCCCGCGCTCGGTTCAATCCGAGTAGTTTTTTTTTTTCTCTTATCTTTGTGTTGTTTTTTTTTTTTTTTTTTTTCCCCTGGGGCTTTACCCATCCCGCACGGGGACCTGCGGAGTTTCTCCGCCTTTCTGGAGGGTGGGTGGGAACCAAAGGTGTAGATTCTGCCGCTTCACCCGGCCCCTATCCAAGGCAAAGACTGAAGCGGACCCCAGGCATATATAGGTGTCCGGAGTTCATCTCAGTTATGCTCAGCTGCTGCCCCGCCCTAAGGGAGCCCTTACTCCACTGGGGTCCAATCGCCCGGGGACCTCAACCCCACCTCCCGCCCCGCTTGTCCAGCTCCTCACACCGCCCTACTTACCTGGGGCGCGCCACCTCCGGACCCCGCGGAGATGCCGGTGCAAAGTGCCTGTGCAGTCTGGTGGCGCGGTGACGTGCTTCGTGCGGTTCAACTCCTTTCTTTGGGAGGGACCCAACACTGGCGCCTACGCAGATGCTCTTCAAGTCATGGAAATTGACCCTAAGCCGGGAGCCTTGGGAGTAGGGGCAATAACCCTTCGTTTGGGGCTTCTGCGTTACATCGCCGCAGGCAGCTCTTCGCGGTGGTCGGGGGTGTTCGAGGCCCTGGGCAAACCATTGCGAATCTCTATTAGAGCTTGTAGTGCCTGCGTCTCCCAAGGGAATATCGACCGGAAGGAGGCCGCACGGCTGCGAGCGCGGAAGGAGCCTGAGGCTCCCTCCAGATGTGCCAGACGCACATTGGAAATCCATGTAGGTGTCCGCCGGCAGACAGACGGCTGCGCCACTAGGAAAGGCTCCGCCCGCATCCCTGCTGTACTTTGTACCCGGAGAGTTGGCGGGCCGCCCGGGGAGAAGCGTGCGAAGGCCTGGGTGAGCTGGGATGTCCGCTCCTCTAAACCCATGAGGGGCTTATGCAGACCAGACTTCGTCATCAACTCCAGAAATGGAATGATGGCCTTGGCGTCTTTCCACTGAAATGCTAGGATTTCGGCCTTTTCTGGGGCCCCTGGACGTGAGCCCCGGCTTCAGTGTACATGCCTAAACCTTTAAGACACAAAAATCGATGCAGACAAGCCTAAAGCTCCCCTGCTTCAGTTAGAAATTGAATTGATCCTGGGGGCGGGTAGTTCAATTACCATGGTTTCTAACCACTTTGGGGACTTCCCACCATCTCTAGTCTAGGCTCCCTTTGGCTTTCCAGTCGTTTCAGTCCAAGGTAGAGCTAGCTCCCTTGTTCCCTTTCAATATCCCTTAAGTCTTTATATGGCTCATGCAGGTTCCCAGGAAGGCTGACCCGTAGCAACCTAGGGCCTCTTTCAGCTTTAGTGTTGTCTGGGTTTCTTGTTCCTCCTCCCCTCAGCCAGAGGGCACCCACTGAGCTGAGTCTCAGCATTCCCTCCCAACCCTACAGTGTTCACTAAGGAGAGGCAAACAAGCAGGAGGAAACTCCTCAGGCTATTTGGACCTTTGTACCACAATCCAGATTGCAGAAATGGGTGCAGAAATGGGGGTGAGGGGGACAATTCCTATTGCCCCTTGCTTTATTGGGGTAATCATTTGCATATGTGTTTTAGTTCTCAAAACTAAGTGCTCCAGCAAGGAAAAGAATAGCTTTTGTAGTGTATTGGCTATAACAATAAATGATAAAACAAATGATGACAGACTCTCATAGGAATATGTGCTATAGACACTGAATTATTGAGAAATGTGCTAGGAAAGAATTTGATATTTCTTATGACTCAACCTATTTAACTCAGTGCTTTATCTAAACAAATTACTTTATCTAAAATGGAATATGGAATTGGTGGTTAGTTGTATGTTATTTAAAAAAATACAGCACATATGGAGAATAAAAATGAATGTTCATCAGGTTTTAAAAGTGGCTTTTCCGCCCATTAAAGCTTTTATACTAGCCAACCCTTATAATGTTTTAGATGCCTCTTTGGCAATCACTGACTAGAGACACCTGGCTGTTCCTCAGGGGGCTGATATTTCAACAGTCATCATTCCAGGGGTGGGCAAACTTTTTGACTGGAGGGCCACAATGGGTTCTTAAACTGGACAGGAGGGCCGGAACAAAAGCATGGATGGAGTGTTTGTGTGAACTAATATAAATTCAAAGTAAACATCAGTACATAAAAGGGTACGGTCTATTTTTTTTTTTTTTTTTAGTTTTATTCATTTCAAAAGGGCCGGATCCAGCCCGCAGGCCGTAGTTTGCCCACGGCTGGTTTAGACCCTGAGTGTTAATCATGGTTGCTCTAGAGCACCACCCCATAACAAAGAAACAGAATTTCCGGAGGATGAGGCCCAGAAATCAGGATTTTAAAAAGATTCCCAGGTGAATCCAAGGTTGAGCACAACTTCGGTCCCTTGAATGTGGTTCTTCCACAAAATATCATGTGCGGGCGTGCACATACAGTGCGATTGAAACTTCGTGGCCACACTCAAGGGGCCAAAGAGCCGCATGTGGCTTGCAAGCCACAGTTTGCGGACCACTGCTCTCGGGCAGTGGTTGGCAAACTCATTGGTCAACAGAGCCAAATATCAACAGTACAACGATTGAAATTTCTTTTGAGAGCCAAATTTTTTAAACTTAAACTATATAGGCAGGTACATTATTATTAACTTAATTAGGGTACTCCTAAGGCTTAGGAAGAGCCACACTCAAGGGGCCAAAGAGCCGCATGTGGCTCGCGAGTCGAAGTTTGCCGACCACGGCTCTAGGGGAAGTGGCTGATGGGAGCAGGTAAAACAGCTCTGTTGTTCAGAATCTCCTATGTTCACTTTGCAGCTTATCTTAGGAAAAGCTCTCAATTTAGTGGTAACCTCATATATAAAAGAAGAAAACTTAAGAGCTGACATGAACATGCTTTTTTTGTTTCTGAAGTGGTTTCTATGATGGATTAGTATCCATAAAATGTATTGACAATGAGATATCACTTTACATCCACTAGGGTGGCTATAAAATATATTTTCAAGAAAATAACAAATGTTGTCAAGCATGTGGAGAAATTGGAACCCTTCTCTGTTGCTGGTGGGAATAAAAAAAAATGATGCAGCAGCTTTAGAATGTTTAATGAATCCTCAAAAAGTTAAACATAAAATTGCCATATGACCCATCAATTCCACTTATAGTATTTACAAGCCCCCCCAATTGAAAAGAAATGTTTGAACAAAAATTTGCACTTGAATGTTCATAGCAGCACTACTTATAATAGCCAAAGATGCCAAATACCCATCATCCAATGAATGGATCAGTAAAAGGGAATGAAGGACCAATACATGCTACAACATAGATGAACCTTGAAAACATTTGCAAAGTGAAAGATGCCGGGACATATATATTGCATGATTCCACTTATGTTAAATGTCCAGAATAGGCATATCCTAGAGACAAGCAGCCCAGCAGGGTTGAGGGGGAGAGGGAATGAGAATAACTGCCTAATGGAGATAGGATTTATTTGGGGATAATGAAAATGTTCCTAATCAGACAATGTTGGTGATTATACAATACAAGAAGCCCAATACATGAAGGGGCTCGGCCCTCACAGCCTCAGCTGGCCCTCGCAGCCCAGACTTCATCCAAAAGGTCGTCCAGAAGGTGGTTTGGCTGTTCAGTCTAATTAGCATATTAGCTCTTTATTATTAAGATGATATATGTACTAAAAGCCACTGAATTGTACACTTTAAATGGTTAAAATTATGAATTTTGTGTCATGTGAATTTTACTTCAATAAAAAAGGGAGAGATTGAGATGGAAGTGAGCCAAGCAGTGTTATCAAGTCTTTTCAGTCATGCATGTATTAACACTGTATCTGTGACCTAATCCATTAACAAACAAAAATAATCAAGCTAAAGGCAGAATTTCTGGGCTAAACAACATGTGATTGGGTTGCAGCTGTTTTAAATTATATTAAGAGGAGAAGCCCAGTTAAGGAATCTGCCTTCCCCTTAAACCTCAATTGGATGTAAACCTTTCCTGATGAAACAGGAACACTAATACAGGCATAGGAGTGCTGTATGTGGAAGGAAAATGGCCTATAAGAAGTCAGGACTCCACATCTTCTTGTCTTGTTTAAAAACTTAAAAAAAAAAGTATGTATCTAAAGTAGCTAAAGTCTTGGAAAGCGTAGCATAAGCTTGTTTTTTCCATGATAGTTACTAGTCCCCCAGTCCTCCTTCCATAGTTACCATCTCTCCTATGCCTCTGTGATAGGAACATTTTGAGATATGAGAGAGGAAAGAATATGGCTTTCAAGAGGGGAGAATGAAAAGCCCTAAATTAGGCCCTAATCAGTTTGGCTCAGTGGCTAGAGCGTTGGGCTGCGGACTGAAGGGTCCTAGGTTCACTTCCAGTCAAGGGCATGTACCTTGGTTGCGGGCACATCTCCAGTAGGGGGTGTGCAGGAGGCAGCTGATCAATCTTTCTCTCTCATTGATGTTCCTAACTCTCTATCCCTCTCCCTTCCTCTCTGTAAAAAAATCAATAAAATATTATTTTTTTAAAAAAGAAAGAAAAGTCCTAAATTAGGAAGGTGCCGATTATTTTCTTCCCCCTTCTCAAATCTCTCCTATAAGCTACACTCTTCTGTGCTATCATGTACCAGGTGTACACTCTGATTACTGTAGTTACCACACTGTGTTG